AAAAAAAAACATCGGTAGAACTGTGTAATTATTTGTATATATAACTGGAAAAAATTGCAAGGGGCACCAAAATCATTTTTGCCTCGGGCACCAAATTTGGTTAACTCGGCACTGGTGGATAGTGAAATTGCGATTTAATGCTGTGTGATATTTTGGTTTTGGTTTGATGTTGCAATTCAAAATGAAGCGAACAAAAGGTGATCACCTGGTTGGTGTATATTGCTTCTTTTTCGCCAAATATGCTATATACGCTATGTTATTAAATGTGTAAATGTATCGGTGCTAAATTACATGCTCTATGAATATATAGACATTTACCAAGCTATTATTGACCAGTAACATTTACGCTAATTCATTCTAAATATAAATCGAGGCTATATCTTTTGTGTGGCGTTTATTCATTTTTTTATTTACTTCAATTGTACCCATATTCCAAAACTAACACTACGAAATCACTTGAATGCCAAAAATCCTTACCGATTTTTCGAAGTGATATCGAATAAATTTGTAAAAATTTTCATCGCGCTTTTTATTTGTCTTTACGCTTGGATGTGGGAATGGGATGGGATGGTTTCGATGAGTTTCGTTTTTTATCGGAGCTTCAATCAATTGATGAGATTCTGAATAATTTAACGATTTGTTTCCGTGTCATCAACGATTGAAGTGTTGCTTTTAAACTGAAATTAAATTCCATTTAAGTCAAGAGAGCTTAAGAAAAATAGATGCGCTCGTTGAGTGAGATGAAATGTAACTGTGTTGTGTGTGCTATTTTATCATCATCGGACTCTCTAGCTGCCAATGAACCAACAGAAAGGACAAATGTGGGGGAGGACAAAAGATAAAGAGAAAGAGCGAGAAAGTTTGTCTCTCAATTTCCAATTGAATTGACTAAATGCTTAACTAAGCACTTATTCCAAACTTATGATAGAGCGCGCGTCAAGTAATTGCACCTGTTACCACTCATTTCCAATGTAAATACCAATATTCCCTCACTCATTCACTCATTCACACACACACACACACACACACACATACACAATGGTAAAATACGAATACATATTCAACAGATTTGACGTGGTTTGGTAATTCCCCCATCCCTTCGAGCTAATCAATCACTCTCGATAATACAGGCAATCGCTACGTTCCAATACCGATTTTGGTTTAATGCATTATTTTGTGGATACGGAATTTAATCAAGGCAAGTGTATATTTTAGGCAAACGTTTCGATGATTCAAATCGATGAATCTGACGACAAATTTGTTGACTGATCACACAGCAATTCGCGCTAAATAAACCAACCGACGAAAACATTCTACCCAGCATTCGATATTGCTGCTTTTACATTGTCTAACACAACAACGTGATGTCAATAAAAATAACGCCTGTTGCTTGTTACGTACGTTAACGCGTAATGAATCTTCCAAAATGATTGCGTTGCGCAGGAACCGAAAAATTTCATTTATTTCAGCGATATTCTCAAATTACACAGCGGGAGGATTTTCGTTGAATGCAAAACAAAAATTGGAATCTTATTTTTCACATTTTTTCGATTGAAAGCGTATGCAAAATTGAGCTTGTGCCATGGAATCTGTTCGAAACTGAGTTTTCTGACATGGAAATTGTTTAATTAGATCCATGACGCTGCGGGCAATGTCAAATCTCCAAACCAGGATCAATTTTCATCGGTGTTATTTGCAAATAGTTTACATACTTTAATTAAGTTTCAATTATTAGGAGACGCAGAGCTCCATTGCACAGTTTGACGTTAAAGTCAAATGATTAGATATAAACGGACCCAGGTAAACAGAACGATGTGTGTCTGTTTATTTGACGATGGTACACACGAATAGAACAAAGGCCATTCAACAATGAACGATGCAATCACCGATGAATGTCACAGTATGTGTTTAACACAGGCTGAGGTAACATTCCGTTTGGTATTCGCACTGAACAATGCTGTGGAAAAGGCAAACAAACTGGGTAAAATATCAAATTTACTGCAATCTCCATCGGTGTGTTGCCTCCGTACAGTAATTAATTCGAACAGTCGATCCGATTGGAATTTTTGTGGAAGAATCACTCTACATGCTACATAGTAAAATATCGGAAGGTCAACATATCAATTTACTTCGGGTATTGAATGTGATCCAAACTCAGTTGGATGTGTTGAAATATTCAGAGCATGTAACCCAAGAAACGAAATCCATTTATTGAATGCATGTTCCTTATTCTGGAAGTGCTTCAATTAAATGACGATTTAATATGGTCAACACGATTCCGTACATTTTCAATCAAAAAAGCCCATGATAAAAAGTGATGGTAATCAAACATGACATGAGTGTGAATGCAACACAGAATCACAACCGTCCAACGTAATCCATTGACTGTTTCGTCCAGTCAATGTGGTAAAAGCGCCTTCAGTTCATTAAAACTATATGCGCTTATTTGGCTCGTTATTTCTCTCCATACTCTACTCTCATTTACATGCGGTCTATCAGTTTGTGCATGTTGACTTGTCGATCCGATTGAACTATGCTGTTTCATTGGATTATTTTATTTTTTATTTTTTTTTATTTTATTTTCTTTATTGTGGAAAAAGTTTTATGCTACAATTAACAGGCCCTAAGCCCCCTTACAAATTGATAGGTGATTTCATTTTTGGTTTAGTTAATAATTTAAATTAAAATTAAAATGATTTTTTTTTTAGATTTATAATTGATTTGAGTGAATTAAGGCTGATTCAATAATTTATGTAAAAAAAAAATAAAAAAAAATTATGGCATCAATATGCATGATGCGTAGATACGGAATAATGGATTTTAATATGGACAAATATTCCCTGAATATTGCATTATTTATTCATCAAATTGTTGATTTCGGCAACATGACATACAATGGGACCATACAGCCAATGTAAATACATTGATGACAGCGTATGAACTTTCTTCTAAAACTCTACGAATAAAGCATGAGAAGCATGGCGCCACCATCTTTCCCAAATTTATCATTGAAGTCAATGGAATACATAAGCGTTCAAAAGCGCAGCGATAGATGGCGCCTCTATGAATCCTATACGCAGCTTACTTACTGAATATGGCCCATTTGATGACATACATATATTCGTGAGACAGATTTACACAACGTAAAACGTTTTCACATTTTTCTTTCAATTTGTACAATTTTTTTGCCCTCGATTTAAATCATACATTTTATGAGTTTTATTCATTTTGTCTTGCCATGGAAATGACAACGAACATTCCAGCTGGCAAACAATAAACGTCTTTTTCGGGATTTTATTTAACATTCGGTTTTTGGTGTGTGTTCAATCAATTTGAACTGGTACTTAGCTGATTACGTGGCTGACGTACTAAAAGCATATTTTTTTTATTGTCAGGAATAAAAACCACGAATAAAAAAATTGTGCATCATAAAAACTGGTACATTGAAACCAGTCTAAGTGGGTGGCAGATGAAGCATTGATATTTTTAAATGGGATTTCAGCATTTATTCCGTTGTTTTGATGCGCAATTACGGAATGTGGAATTAATTCAAATCGTCGAACTTTTGTGGCAAATTTACGATGGAATGAGCCAGTATAAAAATTGTTATTTGTTTATTTAAGTTATTTAAATGCACAAACAATTCTATCCAGCAGGCCGACTACCCACGCCTGTTTTTGGCATGATGTCGAATGCACGCATGCACATATTTTGTGTGGCGGTGGGGCACCCTCATATTTGCTGATTTTTGTTTTCTCTTCATTTGGCATTCGAATAAATTGTTTGGTTTTGTTTGGCAAAATAATGTTTTGACTTCGTTCAAAGGTTCAAAGTCAACAATCAGAATTCACAATTTACGGAAAACAAAAACACATCCCGCTCAACGTAGTCGAGATAGCGTTGCGAGTGTGCAGAACAGGTAGTAGCTGTTGGGGTTTTCGCCGAACAATCAAAAGAATCATAAATGGAAATAATACTCAAACTTTGCAGATTCCGGCAGTGAACAAGGCAACTCCACACTCAATAAACCTAAGACTGAATAAAAATGCTATTCCAAAACATTAAAATGCCGGAAAAACGATGGTGAGGGTAATGCAAGAAAATTGAATTAGATGTTAAAACATGTGGAGACATCGTTACAGCAGCTGCTTCTGTTCCTATTTCGATTTCAATACCATGACAATTGACTGGAGCTGAAGCAGCAGTAAGCTAAAATAATATTTTGTTTTCAGCTAAAACGTAGAAAAGGGAGCGAAGAGAGAAAAGAATCGTGGTTGGTCTGAATCTCATTGCATGCAGTGGAAAGATTTGGCAAACTGCTTGTATGAGAACGAGAGCGTGAAAGGCCTTGTTTCTTGGTGTGAAAGTGCTCTTTTGCCACTAGTGGAAAACAGTTGAGCACTGCAAGGAATTTTAAACGATAATTGTAATCGACCGTAATCGTAAACGTTTCACTTTGTCACCATTCGTTCCATTATTCCATGTTTTGTATGCTTGTTCATGCACTCCTCTCATTCTCGTCCTTTCTCTCACTCTTTCAGCATGACGACGTGTACACCATGCAGCAATTCCGGCTCACGTTCATTTGCAACATGAAACGTGTTTAAATATAATATTAAACGCACAGCAGTCTGTCGATAAAGAGGTGAGAATAAGACAGAAAAAATGGAGTAACACACAAGATATGTATGAACTTGACGACAAATGGAAGAAAAATCGAAATAAAAACGTACAAAATACAATGTTGTGCATGTTGTAGACAAAAAGGGTACATTTTGAACAAAGATGAAAGAAAAAAAACCCGTCGGAATCCATTTCAGCGTAACAAATGAAAATAAATAAAAAGAAAACGAATAATGGCGAATCCAAAAGCTTTTTTATGCTTTTGTTTTATGGCAAAATGCGAAAAAAAAACGTCGACAAACGAAGCGAATAATGCTTTTCACGTTTTAATGCAATCGGATAAAAGGGTTTTTAGCGATTTTCAATTGCATCTTTCTAATGGGCTTACTCGACAACATTTATGGATTTTGATTGTACATTCATTTGACAAACATTGATTTCACTTTGTCGATTTTATTGCCAATCCGTTTTTTCAACTGTTTTCAACCGGTTCACTGAACTGTGCATGGAATGCCAAACATTTCCATCATTTTAAACACATTCGAAATAACATTCATTTCCACATGCAAAAAAAATACTTCAAAAGTTCAAACTTGTTGCAAAGTGTCGATTACAATATGCTGGTGTTATTTGAACATTATGCATTGTCAGCGGTCAAAAAAGCGGCCATAATTCATATATTTGCCCACTTCTCTGATGTGTATGTATTAATAAAAACAAAACATACAATGAAGCGTATCGAATTTTTAGCGCTAAATTTAACAATCTCAAATGCTTACATTTCAATCAATAATCGAATGCATTTAAACCACTTCAAACATTCAACAAAGAACCACTTCGGGCAAATGATAAGCGCTTTTCCTGCTGAACAGTTAATTCCCATCGAACAGTTTCTTATACAATGTATCCATTGACAATTGTCACATTGTATGAAGCGTGAGCATTAGTTGTGTGATAACTAATTATGTACTCGAAAAGTTTTCTAGAA